CAGAATTCCCCAGGCAGCATGGCTGGCTGGGGAATTCTGGGAGTTGAAGTCCACATATCTTAAAGTTGCTAAGGCTGAGAAACACTGATCTATACTGATGGACAGCAGCTTTCCCTAGTGGTTTTCCCCTTTCCCCTTAACCTTTTTTTTTAAATTGGAGGTCTTAGGGACTGAAGCTGAGATGCTTGGAAGGCAGATCATGTGCTCTACCACTGAGCTGAGTTCCTCTTCCAAGTTTACTTCATACATTTGTAAGCCCCACACACCTGTATAAACTGAACACTGTATTGCCATTGTGCATCAAGTACACGTACACATCTTCTACGTCTTCATGCTTCATCATATTGAAGGTGAAGAAATACACCCCTAGAAGGGAAGAAAGAAAATATGTACTACAATTTAATAATTGCATAGCATGGATACAAGATCAGATGGTTCCTCAGCAGCAGTTTCAACAAACTCCTCTTTCTCCTTTCCCTCCTTGCAGTTGTCATCTGGAATCACAACCCCATGTCACTGAAAGACCTCTTAGGAAACATACCTAATTTGGCTAATCTTCTACTAAAATCAGTGGCAAAATGTCCATTTGTGTTACATGGTTAGGACTGTACCAATACTGCCGTCAAGTGCACTGTTACAGTAGAAGAACACTCCTCAACTTGGTCCGTGTTTCAGATATGCTGGATTTCAAACCCCATAAACTTAATTAGAGCTACTGTTAAGAGGTTTAACGATTATAGTCCAGTATTTCCATTCCCCAGCAGGGCTCGGAATAAGTCTGCCTAAAACCTTAGAGGGCTGTTCTTAGTCTAGAGCAGCGGTTCTCAAAGATTTTGGTCTCAGGACCCCTTTACGTTCTTAAAAATGATTGAAGACCCCAGAGAGCTTTGCATTATGTGGGTTATATCTATCAATATTTACTGTATTAGAAATTAAAACTGAGAAATATTTATTTGATTGATTGATTGATTGATTGATTGATTGATTGATTGATTTCACGGACCCTCTGAAAGGGTCTTGGTTCCCCCAGGTGTCCCCAGACCACACTTTGAGAACCTCTGGTCTAGAGAAAATTGAGATAGTTGGATCAATATTGTAGCCTGGAATAACTGAAGCTTCCTATATTCAATGGCTAAACCTGCTGGTATAAGGATAATTATTGTCCAGCACAGGATATTTAGTTAGCAGCACCTCATCCATCGTAGCCAATCTAGAAATCTTAGCAAGTTCAGCCCTGGGTAGAACGTGGGTGGAAGACCATCTGGGAAGTCCAGGGCTGTAGGTTAGCAGAAATTACACACACACGCACACACATTATAGGAGAATGCTATGATCAACCACTTTGTGCAAAGAAAATTGCTTGGATGTGTTCCAGTAAGTCATTAGAAATCCAGTTCCACTCAAAAATGTAAATGTCTTTCTACAGATCTGAAAGGCAGATCTGGTGGAGAAGATTGGTCCCTACTTCTCTTTTGAAAGCACAGGAACACATACACAGCCATTGCCCTGTCTAAAAATATAAAATACAAACAAATTGTCCGTGTATGTATTTTGAGGAAAACACATGCATTATTAGTAAACTGTTTCTTAATACTTGCATCCATAAGCATCTGTAACTAGGCACAATAACACGCAAATAACTTGTGTTCACTGCACAGATGAAATGACGCAATTGTGTCATGAGATCTGATCCAAGTACCTACATGTGTCATTTGTGCAAGGATGCCACGATGTGCTTTTCTTCCTTTGCCCATTTTGCCTCCCTGAAGACGTCTGTGCTTGCAGATTAATCCATCTCTTTCCTTTCATGCTTGTTTTTTAAAATCGCAAGCATTTTATTCAACATAAAAATTGAAATATAGATGGAAGTAGGCAATTTCCATAATTTGTTACAAGATTATCTTAAAACACTTTTCCTTAGAGAACATTGAATACATACTCAGCTCAATCTTACTACATGTATTCAGAACTAAGACTTACCAAATATAATAGGAATTACTCCAAACTTAAGAGTGCGGGCATTTAGCCATAATTGTTATGAATTCACTCATCTTCCTGTCCAAGATGAATGTCCACACTTTCAAAATATTCTGTTTCATCTCTGAAACAATCCAAGATGAGGTAGCCTGATCCTGAAGCTTAGGATCTACTTTGGAGCCTTAAAAGGCTGTCATTATTTATTTGTTTATTGCCAGTTTAGCAGAGTTTTTAAACTCTTGTAAGTTCCATAAATTCTCCATAAATAGAAGATGGGGGGAAAGGATAGGCATAAAAAAATGGATATATTCTAGTGATTGATAGACCTCATTTCCAGTCTAGTATTAACTTTACCAGCGAACTCCCATCATAGGCACATTGAAGGAACAATGAGCAATTATTAATCTATTATTGTCTAATAAAAGCAATAGTAGCTTAACGAGGTTGCCTCTAAACAGTTTTAGGAAGAATACTACTTTTTCCTGGATTTCCAAAATCTAATTTTTTTGGCTGTTGCTGTTTTGATATTGTCTTGAGCCTAAGCAATGTTATTCATTCTTAGTTATTAGAAGCTAGTAAAACAATGTTACATACTTAGCAGTTGTTATATTGTTCAGGTATTTCTGCAGAAGTTTTGCCCTGCATGCCAGTGAGGCTTTGTCAACATGGAAAGAACCAGATCGCTATCTTGGTATTGAGCTCCTGAAGCCTGGAGAACCCAGTTACTAAGCAGGTACAGCAAACCTGGATTACTTCTACTCCAAGAAATACATAAAAACAACTTTTCCAGAAAGTGCTTGGGGAATGATGAATGTGTACCATTTGTATTACTGTATTATATTACCATGGCATTGTCTTAGTTTTAATATTGTTTTATTGCTTTATTGTAAACTGCTGGGAATCCATACAGCAGTATATAAGGGACAGAAATAAATACATTTGCAAAAAATCAAATATTGGCTTTTTTATTCCCTATACCTTGCATTAATTTCTGTTGAAATTTCACAGGAAATTTACATAAGGACATTTTTCCGTTATGAATTACATTCATGCAAATTGCCTACACAAAGAAAAATAAAGGTAAAATATTCTTTTATTGAAAAAAAAAAACTTCCAACTTTAAAAAGAAGCCCAAACAAAACCCTGTGCATTTGTTTTCATAGAATCTGGCAGAATTCATCCTTTCTGAAAACGCAATTAAAATTAAAATGTTATATTTCTGTTCTACAAAAATAATGATAAGTTCACAGTTGTCTGCTGGACATCATATTTCAATCAATTTTTAAAACAACAGGTCACAGTGTCCCTTTGTGTTTGATCCAAGGTGAAACACAATATCAGCCTGAAGCTTCAAGGGGAAAAAGCATTCTGTCCGACCCAATAAAGAATGTTCAAGGCAAATTACTGTTTCTTCTGCATAAAACTCTCACAGAATATATTATCTGCTGTACTCACCATTTACTGGAGCTCCAAATCGTCCAGTCATTACATCAAAGAAATTGCCAATGTTGGTTTCCACACTACTGAAGATTATTCCACTGTTCTGATTACTGAAGTGGGTTGCCATTGAAGCCATAAATGCAACCTAGGTAAATATAGTTAGCAATGAAAGAACAGAAGAAAGACAGATCGGAAGACACGGTTGAAAGGAATCAATTCTGTCTCAACTTCTTTCCCAGTTTAGTGTGGGAGGGAGTGGGAGAAAGACAGAGAGATCAACTTTAATTTCCTAAAGGTACCACTGGGATCTGGGCCAGCGCTTAGCCAACTTGACCAACAAAACTCCCATTGATTTATGTATGAACAGAGAACCTCTCATATACAGAAAGAAAAACATATAGATGGATGTTTAAAAAATAAACAGCTCCATTTGAGATTACTGTACACTTTAACATAGCAGCCAAGTCTGTGGAGATCTCTTCACTCCATGCCGTCTCCACAGCAGAAAGCTTTCTGTTTCAGCGGGATTTGTCAGATTTGCTCCAAGATGGAGGGAATGGAGAAGAAGTCCTGACAATTTTTCTTTGGCTTTCAAAATAAAATAGTAAGGTGTGCACCAACAGTGATAGCAGGAGTGTGGTCAGAAAAGTCAAGATGGTAGCCACAATGATACGATTGAAGCTCTGCCCATTTTTTTATGTATGTGGCATGCTCAATGCACATAAGACCAGGTGGAGTTTGAATCACATTGTTGTGACTGCCATCTTGACTTTTTTGACTACACCCTATGGACATGCCTAAGGGATTGACTGTACAGAGTAAGGAAGATCATCTTGACAAAGATATGCAGGAACCGTTCCATAGGCAAAAGGGGCTGAGGCTTTTTTAAGTCCAGAACTACTAAATAACTTTTGGAAGTGGTTCAAACACCTCCCTAATTCACTGAACTATAAGGAGGAGAAGGAGGTGGAGCACAATCAGACTTGCAAGATTCTGCTATTATAGTCAATCTCCATAAAAGTAGTTTTATTATAGCCAAACTCAATAAAAGTAGTGTTATTGATTTCCTGGTGGTCTACCCAGTGGGGCTGACATGGATAGGCATGATAAAATTCCATACATAATGCTAAGCCATAATGTGGTTTGTTTATCATAGGTTGAACCCAGCTATTGTGATTTCTAAACCATGGTCAAACCATGGTAAGGCCCAGGCCAATATGTCTTGTCCAACAAATCATGGTTAAAGCAAACCATGACTTAGCACAACATGTGAATCTAGGATAAAATGGGGACTCAAACCATTTAAATATCATTGGTCTTATTTACTAACTGTATTTTGGCTTAAAAGCTTAAAATAGTTTGTGATAGGCAGAGGAGTGAGAAGGATGATAAAGGTCAGTATAGATCATTTTTAAGATGTCTAACCAACTGCTGATATGTGTTTTGGTGGGATTAGGGAATGGTCATGACAGGGCCTAATGATAGGGATAGGCCATAGAGCCATTTGAATTCTAATTCTTGACTCTTAATATTTCTGGGGAAAGAATGGTTGGAGTTGGTATCCTGAAATAGGCCTTAAGACCTGAACACAAAGCGATTGATAGCTGGCAGTACAGCTATTCATGTTTCATTTGGAGCTAGGATGATCCAAGATGTCACACGTGATAAGTGGATATAGCTTCTCTTTCTTCCTCTACTGATCCGAGGAACTGAGCAACGTTAAGTCCTCTGTGTGTTGAATATTATTCTATGCTTGGATTGATTGTCAAAGAGAAAGTTGATTGCAGAAAATCTGCAGAAAATTTTATGATTCTATGGATTTTCCTAAAAATATGATAGGCAATAGAAATCTGTAGGAATGATAATACTGGGAAATCTCATTTTATACTCCACCTGTATATGCGTCCAAAGATATCTTAGAAATATTACACATTTCTACTATCTTCTAAAGAAATTGTATATACACAAAGTACGGGCAAAACTTCTCACCATCCAGAAATAAGGTCTACTCATCTAACATTATATTTCAGTTTCTGATAGCTACCATTTCATATCCATTTGCTCACATACAACTCTCATTTAATAAACACAGATATATTGAAAGGCAGCTGAACAGACATTTCTGGCAAAAATAATTTAAAACTAATCAACCAATATTGAACAGATCTTGATTTCCTATGAGCTTAAATCTAAGAACAGTTACTTAAGCTGCTCTTTATAAATTAAAAAAAAAACTGCATCCTTTCCAATTTTCTTTTAAAAGGATGTGTTAAAAACAGCACATTAAAAAATTTTTGCCCAAGTTTGCATATTTTCAAAGTTTATATAAAGAAAATTACACACCTCTATTACATATCTCATATGATACCTCATCTTTGGCAATGTGGTCTATAATACTATGTTGACTTCATAACAGAAACTACTTATTAAGTGTTCATTGGGCAACAAAATCGTCTTCAAGCACCTCCAGACTGCTGTCTTTAGTTGGTGCAGACAGAAAATAATTTAGGCTCTATTAACAGATCTCTAATAATATGTAGCTAGCTGGCAACTTTTTTAGATTCTCCAATTATTTAATCAGTGCAATAACAAAAGGCAGTTTCTTTTCTATATTACTTCACTGAAACAAACAGTAGGGCGATGAGAAAACTTAGGTTCGCTTCCAGTACTGAAAATACATTTGTAGACCTGTCAGAGCCATTCTTTTACCCCTGGCTCTATTTAATGGATCCTGAAATGTTATTAAAAGGCAAAGTAGAACCCACAGTTCTCTGTCCACTATTGCTGTAGCAAAAAAGGTGATTCTCAAGGAAATGGAATCACCCAATATTCTTAATTACAGAGCTAATTTGGTCTGGTGGTTGAGGTGTTGGACTAGGGAGACCTGAATTCTAGCCCTGTTGGGACTTTGGGCCAGTCACTCCCTCTCCCAGCCCTAAGAAGAAGGCAAAGGCAAGCCACTTTTGAAAAAATTGCCTAGAAAACTGCATGGACTGGTCCATGTAGTCACTAGATCAGTGTTGGCTGTGGGAATTCTGGGAGTTGAAGTCCACTCATCTTAAAGTGGCCAAGTTTGGACAACACTGCACTAGATTGATTGATTGATTATGTGTCATCAAGTCATTTTCAACTCCTAGTGACCGCATTGATAGAGCCAACTACAGGTAGTCCTCACTTAATGATGGTAACTGGGATCAGAATTTCCATCGCTAAGTGATACAGTCGGAAAGCGCGACATCACATGACTGCATCGCTTGGGAACGGAAATCCCGGCAGTTGCTGTTGCTGTCGTTAAGTGAAAATCCCGGGCCATTAAGCAAGGACCTCACGTGACCACAATTTGTGACTTCCTGGTGGCTTCCAACAAGCAAAATCAATGGGGAAGCCTGCGGGAAGTTTCAAGTCCCGGGTGACTCACAAGCAGGCCGGCAGGCAGGTGAGTGCTACGGAGTGCAGCCAGGGGGGGGGGGGATGCTGCAGTGCTGTGTGAGTGTAGCCAGGTGGGGGAGGGATCTGCGGTGCCACGCAAGAGTGGACAGGCGGGCAGTTGGGCACTACAAAGTGTGGGTGGGGGATGCCGTGGGGAGGCACGTGCTATGGATATGAGCTCCCTGGATCTTGTAGTTCATAGCAGGCCCCTTGGGAGAAAAAGTGGCAACAGTGACTCACAAGCAGGCCGGCAGGCAGGTGAGTGCTATGGAGTGCAGCCAGGCGGGGGGCGGGGGATGCTGCAGTGCTGTGCGAGTGTAGCCAGGTGGGGGAGGGATCTGCGGTGCCACGCAAGAGTGGACAGGCAGGCAGATGGGCACTACAAAGTGTGGATGCCATGGGAGAAAAAGTGGCAACAGTGACTTACAGGAGGAACTTGTGACCTTCCCTGCCAGCTTCCCCATTGACTTTGCTTGTGGGAAGCCGGCAGGGAAGTTCGCAAATGGTGATCATGTGACCGCACGATGCTGCAACCATTGTAAGAGCGAGTCATTTGCCAAGTGCCCAAATTGCGAACACATGACTGCAGGGGTGCTATGACAGCTGGAATTTCAAGGACTGGTCATAAGTACCACTCATTCAGCACCCTTGCAACTTCTAACGGTCACTGAATGAGTGGTCATTAACTAAGGACTACCTGTAGAACCCAGACAAAAAATCTTAATCATAGATTTGTATACTCAACCAGTTATGTTACTGTATTCGTAATCTTATTATTTATTTTATATGAACACTTTACCTTATTTTTATGGAGTGAGGGGGCTAAAGTTATTCTGATTCTTGTTCAAGCAATTTTCTTGGCAAGATTTTCAGAAGTGCTTTGTCTTTGCCTCCTTCCTAGGGCTGAGAGAGAGTGACAGGCCCAAAGTCACTCAGTTGGCTTTGTGCCTAAGGCAGGACTCAAATGCATATGGTCTCCTGGTTTCTAGTCTGGTGCCTTTAACCACTATATCAAACTGGCCCTCTTTATGAATCACAGCCTGCAATGGTCTGTGAGAATGTCCTTGAGAGACAGGAGGAGGAGGAGGAGGAGCGGCAGACTAGGCAACAGTCAGATAAGAGGCAGCTGAGCCCACAGAAGGAATGGGGGCATGGCAAACATCTCAGAAGAGACCTTCCCTACTTTCTTGACCTGTAAAGGCGAGTGGGAAGAGCTGTATTTTCAGACTTGCAAGGTTCTGTTAATGTAACCTTACAATAAAGGTAGTGTTAGTACTCATGGTTGGTGCTTCTTGTCTGGACTACTTCAAAGGGCTGACACAGCCCACACCAAAATCTTCTGGATCATGGTCAGGTAAACAAAGAAACCGATAAATAAATTTATGGAATTGCAACTGACAGTCACATTTGGAAAAATCATCCTTTTATGAAAATTAGGTTACCTGAAGTTCTGGCGGGATGCCAGGGTAACCCTTTTCTCCTTTAAGTCCTTGGTGGCCTCGCTCTCCTCTGGGTCCCAAGTCCCCCTTGTCTCCTTTGTCACCTTTCGATCCTTCTGTGCCAGGTAATCCATTATTTCCATTGTTCCCGTGGTTTCCTTTTGGCGGTCAAGCAATAGGTTGCTCAGTGAAATACGAGGTCTAAAAGGCTCCATGCAAGTTTGTATTCATTTTTAATCTAGAATTCCTTGGGCGAAATGTATTTTAACTTTTCTCATTCTGGCATCTTCTAGATATGTTCGGTTTCAGCACCCATCTTCCCCAACCCCCACAGCCAATACCTACAAGGACTGGGGATGATGGAAGTTACAGTTCAATACATCTAGTGCACATTGGACTGGTGAGTATTGAGGCCCACATATCTAAGTAGTAGAAGAGAGGGCAGGGCACAGAAAAGAAGCAACTTGGTGGGAATTGCTCTTTTGAGGCCTGAGATAAAGGGCTGCTGGCTAGGGAATTGTGGGAGTTGAAGTCCACACAGCTTAAAGTTGCTGAGGTTGAGAAACAGTGGCCTAAACAATTAAGGGTATATGAGAAGCAAAACTGCTTTCATGAACCAACAAGAACAGTGACCCTTCTTGGACAATAGGTGAATTTCCTTCATTTCAGTCTTAAATTTGGATTAAAAAACACAGTATTAGACAATAATATTATGGCCTAATATTACGATCTGGTTCATGCAAATACTAAGATGAGGTTGGGGTACCCATACCACACTGAACCCCAAAGTAACCAAAGTCCTTTTAGCCTAGTGCAGCATGCTATGTGAACCTAGCTTAATGTTAGCCTTCAAACTGAATAATAGATGGAACATATTTAAAGTTGAATGGTAGCATTAGAACTATGGGTTCTTCATTTGCCTGCCCCATGAAAACGCCTAATTAATTACTTGATGAATTATATCATTTTCTTCTGAAGGACATTTTTCATGATTTTGAACTACACCATTTTTATCACATTACCATTTTTGCTCATGCCTTCAGTCATTTCTGGATATATGTTATGAAACAGTGTAATGGTATCACAGAATTTAGGGGCATTGCTGTGCTTATAAATTAAATCTACCATTGCATTTTGGTTAAGGCTTGTGTTTTATCTATATAATAAATTGCCTTTACTCTGGGTACATACCAAAAGAACCATGTCATTGAGGGCCACCTGAATCAATTTATTAACGAACTATTAGAGGCTTTTGTAAGCCATGAATTAGCTTCAGTTAGAGTCATTCCATTGTCATCACTTTGTCTGTGCCTTTGCTTGTTAAGAATCAGCATTTCCTTAACTTGCTAGCAGGGGCCAGAAAAATTGACCACAAAGACTCTGTAGGCTGACCACAACAGTCTATACATGGACTAGCTGGCAGGTTGTGTCTTTAGCAAGACACCTTGCTAAAGAAATTGTGTGAGTCCATTACTGGAATAAAGAAAGGAGACATGGCATTCAGCTCCAGCTGCAGTTAGAAGTGTCCAGACAAGGGTCCGGAGGTGAACAAAAGTTTATCGTTAGCATGCTAAAAAGCACACCCAGAGTTGGAAATCTCATATGCTAATATCCCCCCCACTGGACTATTATGGGATAGAATGCTTTTGTGCGCATGTCTAAGACATGTCCCAATCAGCTGATTACTTCCTTGCTTAAACTGTATAAAAGATGGTTTTGGCTTCATGAAGGGGTGCTCAGTTTGGACTTGGGTCCCGAGCGCATGTCTTTGCTTCTGCGCAGAAATAAAGTGTTGGAATCCACTTTCCTCCACTCCACATGATTTACTGGCTCATCATGCCAGGTGAAAACGAACCTAGTTTTGGGCTGGGCCAACACCATTTGTACCTGTTTGCCCTCCAAAGCTGCTTATAGAAGCATTTTATCCAGCCAGGCCATTCTTTTATTACTGAGAATTATTAGAATAGCTACAGTGAACTAAAACAAAGCCCGCATAGCAAGAATCAAAACTGCTGCTGCCAGTAGCATACAAAGTCAAATAAAAAAAAAAAGCAGGAGAAAAAACTGGCACAATTCAAGGTGTTTTTTGCAGCTTTGATTGCACACCTGGTTCTTACACAAACAGGGTGTTGCAAAAGTGAAGTTCTCATGGCCTACTTTTATTAACATAAAGACATTGCATAGGAGAATATTCTGATCCCCTTTCCCGCCATCCTAATGGTGTTAAATTACAACGGATCCCTAACTTTTACAGGACGGTGGGCACATTTGGAGTTTTGAGAACCCGTTGTGAGCACTCTTGCAAAATGATTGATGGGGAGTTTGCTCTTTACAAAATTGCTGGCATGGACAATTTAAGCAGTTACAAAGCAGTGTTTTAACCAGCATGCTGGTTGCCATCCACTTTATCTCCCCATCAGAGGACACTCTGTTCTACACCTTTGTCCTTTTGGGGGCTGGTTGACCCACATCCAAACAAAGAGACACAGCTACTGTCACCCATTATTTGGCATTTTGCATTGAAGCAGGTCAGCTTCACATTTTTAAAAAAATTATTTTAAGGGGTAAAATTTTGGTGGAACCAGGAAACTCAGCTGGTGGCAAGGACGATGTCCATGGGCATATTGGGGCTGGGGACTTAAGGGTTACAGGGAGATTCTTATTAAATATTAAGAGAAACATCCTAGCAGTAAGAGCAGTAGACAAGGAGGTTGCTGAGCAGATTACAAAAGGAGGTGAAGGTCCATCATTTACTAGATGTCTTTGGGCAGAAGCTGGACAGCCATCTATGAACGATGATTCTATTTGGATTCCTGCATAGGGAACAGGAAGACTCAATGGTCTAAATCAGTGTTTCTCAACCTCAGCAACTTTAAGATGTGTGGACTTAAACTCCCAGAATTCCCCAGCCAGCATACTGTCTGGGGAATTCTGGAAATTGAAGTCTACACATCTTAAAGTTGTTGAGGTTGAGAAATGCTAGTCTAAATGGCTGCTTCTGACTCTAGAGTTCTGTGAATATGCATTTGATTCAAGGGACTGAGGGAACGAGCCAAGATAATACAGTAGGAAAGGAGCAGGATAAGGATTGCCACTACAGTATTCCAGATGTTCCAGGTTTAGGGTAGTAGCCCAGGAGTTTGGCACTGCGACTTGATGCAGCAGGCAGCCCTTTACATCTTCTCTACTATGCAAACTGCCACAGAGACCAAGCAGCCCCTTCAAGTGTTCATCACAATGCAACTGGGTTCTAATGATTTACCTGGAATTCCAGCAGGCCCTGGGGGTCCAGGTGGGCCTTGATAACCTCGAAATCCAAAATCCCCCCGGCAACCACATTCCGGTGGACTTTGAGGTCCACTCTGTGTTGTCTGTGAACACATGGTTCAAAAACAATTCATAGGATATCATTATTATGATATTTATTAATAACGGATAATCTGTAGCAATAGACCCCATTACTTATTGCACTGAGTGAAGAGACTGCTCCACCTTGGTAGAACCTCGTTTTTCTGTAGGTTTGCTAACTGGTGAGAAATAAAAGCTGTTTCTTTCATGGCCATCAATAGCACATCAGGGTGTCTCTTAATCACTCATAGAGGGAAATACCTGTGGCTTGCACCTGAAAAAATGTAGGCATGCCAAAGATTGGATCTAACAAATAACATATGAAATCTGCTGTCCAGTTTTAACAAAGGCAGTCAGTAATAGAGAGCTCCAGCCAAGAGCAGAATGCTTCAGGAAACAGTAGGCACATGCAACTGACTGTACCCTAATTCCTTCCTAGGAAGAAGACATCCAGGGGGACAGTTGGCTAAAGTCCCAAACTCTCCACCCACCAAGGTGAAATATAGGGCTGCCATATTTGGGCTGCATAAATGTAGACAACCTCTAGATGGCAGCAAGCAGAGTTTGTGTACCTCTTTGCTGCTACCTTTTTGCAAACCAGATATGGTAAAGAGCGGGCCTTGCACGATTCCCTTCACAGCTATTTTTCCTGTGGTTCCATTTCTGTTTTAGTTGAACCCACCTATTATTCCTTCGTTTATCTGTACTCTTAAATTGTAAGCCATTTTCTCTAAGTTTGGCATCTGTCTCTGCTTTCCTTGAAGCTTTGTGTTGTCCCCCCATTGTTTTTGCTCGATCCACCAGATATCTCAAGGAGGGCATATTCCAAATCTCTTCCATTATACAATGTCATCTTGATGACCCAGGAGTTGCGCCTTTTCTGTTACAGCGCCTGCCCTGTGGAACAGCATTACTCCATAGATCGAGATAGCCCCAATCTTATTAGCCTTTCACAAGACACTCAAGACCCAGATGTTCCCCTAGGATTGCTGGAAGGTTAAGCAAGCTTTGTTGGCTAAAGTTGCTTTTGTTATAAGTTGGAATTTGCTGTTGTGACCTCAGATGTTATCATCTGGATTGTTTTAATTGTTGGTTTTAATTTTGTACAGCCCTCAGAATCACTGCTGTGAGATGTGTGGCCATATAAACAGTTTAAACAAACTTAAATGAATAATAAGATAAATGCTATTTCAAACCAACAATTTTGGTGCCAGTTTGTGTCTTGGGGTTCTAATAACCTCAGACAGACTAGGTCACCACACAGGGGCGTCTACAAGGTATGGTCAACAAAATCAAGAGGGTGGCTGTGATGGTGCAATTAAAGTTGGAGCTTGCCACTGCTTGACTATTAATGACTGGGCTTAAAGTACTACAGTAGTTGCTAAATATCGAATAGCACAAATGCAATGACATTTCAATTGGAAACCCCTTTTCTGCTAAGAAAAGCATTAGTTTAAACTTGGATACAGTTCAAAATCAGTACAAGACAAAGTAGCCAGCAGCCTATGCAGATAAGCAGGGATTAACACCAGACAAACAATCAAGCAGAAAACAACCATCTAATCACTGAACTACCAAGGAGAAAACCCCACCCCCACCAACACTGGCAGGGTAAGCTACTATATATAAATAGGGAGCAAACCCCACACTCACTTGCACCGATGATGTTACCTAGCCGGGTAATGAAATGTCTGCAAGCAAACAACCAAGTTCAGAGAGCACCAAGGACTCCACAAAGTACAGTACTTTGTATGTTACTTGTCTCTTTGCACATATCTAAATTAATGTGTATACATTGATTAGCAGCCATTGACCCGTCTCTAATATTTGCTATCTGAAAATCCTTCTATAAAATAGTTTTATTCATGTAAAGAACAGCCTGAACTACATACTTCCATTTGAAGTGGACTCCATACATTAAAGCTGGTTTTAATTAAGTGATTGTTTTTTTTAATGTAATAATAATATAACAACAACAATAACCATAATCATTCTAATGTTTAACAAATTGTACATCAAATGAGCTGAGAAAGTACAGAGCAGTGTATAAAATCACTTTAATTATACAGCATATCCTCTACTTTAAAAATAATAAGTGTTTTCCTTTGCTATTCTTATGTACATATGCACGTCTAGTAAATCCTATTTTCAATTCAGGATTACCCTCTAGTAAGTGTTTGTGCAAAATACAATCCTATACATAGAAGATGCATTGAAAAATCCTGAGAAAACCCTGAGATACAGAGTTTTTCTCTATCCCACTGAAGTATGCAATCTTTCCTTCATGTCTGACAGCCTGTTTGATGAATACATCTTTGTAACTCTAAGGTTTACCCCCAGCATCTTGAACACAATTTGCTCTAATATGAGATAATACTTTTCTCGTAGCATTTCTAATATATCAGCATGTCATAATCTGTACAAAGTTAGCCAAGTCCCATCAATTTTACTGTCATCTGAAATGTTTAACACTGACTGGATTGCCCATTAAGTTGTAAATCCATACATTGGATCTGAATAAACATGCATAAGGTGGGGTTATTAGTAGACTAAAGATAGCTGATGTAAAAAAGGAAAAAAGGCATCTGATTGTAGGGAAAACTAAGCTCATAGAAAAGAAAAGCCATTTGCAAAATCAATCATCCTATCCTGAAAGACGTCTGCACAAAGAATGGCCACCCTATCGTTAGGAACTAGTTGCTCTTGCGAAAGGGAGTGCTAAGGTTGGCAAATAAAAGCTCACACACTTTCTGAACAACATCTTAGAAGATTAATTCAGAGTACCTGGACTCTGTCTGAGGTAGTCTGTTCTACATCATCTACCTCTGGTTTCAAGGCATTTTGGTCAGTAGAAGGACTATTACCATCATCCACCTCAACCGTCCACTTATACAGTTGACTCCGCTGTCTCACGTTTTCCCTGCTGCTGGAACCTTTATGGCCAGTCTGGTGGTGGCTCTGCAAAACTTTGGCCACTGGATTATTATCTCTTCTGCTCACCTCCATGCGTTCATCTTGGCCCAGGCAAAAATGAAGAAACAGAAGCAAACCCAGGAGACTCCAGTTGAGGATATCCTTTGGTGCTATATGACTCAACATTGCAAGCTCCTTAGAGTGAGTGCCTTCTGCTAGGGAAAAACCTGCTGTTGGTGTGAGGGAGCCTTGGAAGCTGTTCCTTCTACTGAGTCTGCCAGTAAGACCTGATGACCATCAATTTATATGCTGCGTGTAATAAATTACCCTGTGAAAATGTCAGAGAGGCAGGAACCTTCATCCCAAATCAGTCATGCTTTGTGAAACAACCCAGTCATTATTCACCGCATCCCCCAGTGCAGGAAAAATTGATTTGCATGCTGGAAATGGCCACCGCATTTAATGGACAGCTGTGGTTCCTGTTGGGGGGCACTGACAAATGTTATTCCTTTTTTTAAAAAAATTGGGGGAGCTGTTTTTTGTTTTAGCGTGATGAAATAAAGCCCACATGGCAAATGTTTTATGCTTCTTGATTAGATATAGAGAGGCTAGCCATTCAGACTATTTAAAAAATCTAAAGTTTGGAAACAGTGCTGTTTTTATCTTCTAGCTACAAGCAAACCCCAAACCAACTGTCCATATACAGAATATCTGTTCACTTGGAAACAATTAATTTGCCAATTAAGAAATAAAGGAAGGAGGGCAGATTTTTACTTAGGAGCTTGATTTCTTACTATATTTAAATCACTTCAGAAAAATATTGGGAAAACAATCTAAAAACAGTTAAATTCAGGCATTTACTGAGTCCCAGTCCTCAGTATAAAACTTAATTTTCCCAACCAAACATCTTCATGCCATATATGTTCTTCTAATTTCTAGTGTTTTCCTAAAGGCAATTGCCAAACCAAATTCAATTTTCCTGCCAAGTAAAGTTAAATGACCATGAACTCAAGAAGCATGGTTGAATCTTGTAAATAATATTAACCCTCTAGAATTATCCTGGCCTTCTGATTTGTAACTTTTATCCACAAATGAACATCTAAGACACTAAAAATACAAGAGACGATATTTTAGATATTTCCACCTTAAGAAATTTATCCTAACAGAGCAATTTTACTGAACATCTATAGCCTTCTATTTTAAGGACAATTTCACTGATCATCCACACCCTTCTATTTTAGGGCCATCATCTGCCTTGAAGCTGAACAAGCAAGAAAATCACTACCTTCTGTTCCAAATCTATTAAATGTCCACATTTATATTTATATGCATACATACATGCCTAAGATACAGTAAAAGAAATACATGCAGCCACAGATCTTTAAGAAAAGATTTCTCCAAGCTGGTGCCCTTCAATTCCATCAGATGATGAGTCCCAGAATCCCAATCTGGGATTGCGCAAGAGATTGCTCTAAGGCTGAGAAAGGAGGAGGAGTATTTGTAGACACAAACAATCAGCAGATGGTTGAGGTTACTACAGACATATCAAAGAAAGGGATTCTTAGCCTGTCACGTAAACAGCTTGAGAAAAAGAGATTCAGAAGCTTCAGAGAGATCCTGCCTTAATGAATTCTGTAATAAAGGAAGGCTGGAGGATTTCTATCTCATTTCTCAAGATTTTGAGAACCCTCTGAACATAACTCATTCAAGAAAGTCCATATGAATCTTGCTTCTTCTGTTAAGAAACTGAACAGATTGCTTGACAAAGAGTATTTTGGAATTCTCTTTTGAACAGGGTACACTGTTGTTAGTCGTTTTCTGAATACATCTTCTACACTTGAACAAAAGGACACAAATATTCATTGCCTGTAGAAACATCTATGTAAAAAATAAGCTTCTGCAAATGCTACAGTATTTGACTTTTTCACCAAATTGAGCTAGAAAACCTGAGAATAGACTTTATGAGGTAGAAGTTGGAAGGGATTGTAATAATGCCTATTACAACTCTTGGTAGGGCCCTAGTTTGAAATCTAAAACAGTTTCTGTTAATCACTGTAGAAAATACCAAGCTAGATTATCCAATTTAATAAAAAGTATCTTCATATGCAGA